CTGCTAGGAGTTAGTCATGATCAACTAAAAAATAAAGATTTACTAAGTATACTCAAAATATTTAAAATAGCTGCAAATCATTTATCAGGTAAACAGAAAAAAATAAAAGCAGTCTTTGTTCTAATAAAGCTTACAATATATATGAGTATGTCAGACATGCACTTTATGAAAAGTTACCAAGTATCATGCTAACTAATATCTTCCAAATAAATGAAAAGTGTAAACTGTATTACAGTAATTCAAAGATAGTTTTAACTTTACATTGTGAGAGTCAACAAATGATCCCCAAAGAGTATTTAAAAAAATTATATTGGATTTTGTATTTTAAAAAGAGAGGATTCATCAACAAGGGTACCTGCATGATGAATATTTGTATACCTAACCATGAATTGTACCCCATAAATTTAAAATAAAAAAAATTAAAAGTTAAAAAAAAAAAAAGGAGGATTCAAATGTGGGACTGGCCTGATCAGTCAGATGAAAATGTTTTGTGTGTGGAGTGTGGATGAGACAAGAGAGTTTATGTAGGAAATTAATGGGAGCAAATACTAACAGAGATGTTCTAGTCAAATGTAGGAGGACCTGCGTGGTTGCCTGAGGAATCTGAACCAATGGAAACAGAAGCTCACTCAAGTTTAAAGGATAGATTGTGTGACATAGTTTTGGCTCAAGACTCTTTACCTGATGAGGGATAAAGGGTAGTTTAGTAGGGAAGGAGCCTGGAGGCAGATAGATCATTTAGGGGACTGTGGTCCACAAATGAGTTGATAAGGCAGTGTTCTAGGATGGGGCAGTGATATTTGGAAGAAAAGGATGGAAGCTCAAGGCCCAGTGACCTTTTGTGCCTAATAATAAATATCAAGCCTGGGAAAGAGAAACATCAAAAAGAATTCTGAGGTATCTGGGTGAAATGAGGAATTAGCGGTATCAGGCAGAGCTTTGTGAGTTGATTTCCCTGTTTGTTTTCTGGGGGAAGAATTTAAGTGAAATGTATGGTCTCTAAGTTGCAGAATAAAAGGTTAAGTGTAACTGTCCAGTGAGCAGTGGTTGTAAATGTGGCCTTAAACATAGGAGAGCAGCAAAGGCTGCAGGTAAATCTACAGAATTTGAAGCCGTGAGACTGATGTCAATCTAATGAGATAAACAGAAAGACAACGATGTCTAAATATAGGAGAGGCTAATGTCAGGGAATGTTTCCAGGGGATATAAATCTTAAACATCAGTTCAAAGACAGAATCTGTAAGATGATGTAAGGAAGGATATATCATCCTTGCAGGCACTAGATCTAACTCCACTGCCACAATATTAGTAAAGGACAAATATAATGGAATACAATGCAGATTAAATCCACTGAGCTACAGGATTATGGTATACTTTATGGAGGTCAGAAATCACTTTGTCCTCAGCCTGTCCTCAGGTTATAGCTCAGGGAAATGTGTTACAGAGAAGATGAGTATTACTGGGTCCAAATCTCAACTCTGCCATGCAATAAATTTTTATTTTAGCTAAGCACTTTAATCTAAGTTTCAGCATCTCATTCATAAAGTAAGTATATAATTATTATGGGATTAGAGATAATATATTTACTATACGCCTGACCCACTGCATGCATTGACTAAAGTAGAATTGCCTTTTTTTTGGTAATTTTTTTCATTATTGACAAGGATAGAACTATATTTCTGAAGATAGAATTATATTGACTTGCAGCACCAAGGCTATATGACAGAGAGATAAATATTTCTGACCTGTCTGAGACTCTGAAAAAGCACTACAAATTTTCCTAGGTGCTATGAGCCAAATCCATGTCTGGTACAATCTTGGGTAGAAACAGAGAACCCGACATGAAATAAATATTCACAAGTCAAGTGAATTTTCACTGAAAATGCTAGCAGAATTTTATGGAGAACTTATATATTTTAAGGCAGTTACTCACCGTATATTGATATGGTTTGAGAGAAAAATGAAAATGAGATTTTAAGCAAAAACTATGGTTCAAAGGAGAAAAGATGAAAAAATAGGTAACAGATATGAACTGAGTCATTCTCTACACACTTGATTAACATAGAGCAAATAGCTTTTTGGTAAGGCATATAAGGGGCCAAAGATTGGTAGACATTGAATAAAATTTAAAAAACTAGGATTGTTTTTTATACCCATAGATGGAAATAGGTTCAGTTGTATGTGTTTTCCAAAAACAAAAACAATAAAAAGTTTTGGGTAAGTAGAAATGTATGATGTCACTTTAAATGATATACAGGTAAAATAGTAGTCATATGCTTACATATCACTAAGAAATATATTTATGCTTCTATTTGGTTATATAAAACTCAGGATAGCGTAGCAGCTGGGAGCATTGGTTCGGAACCCAGACTTCATATATATGAATTTCAGTCTCTGGGAAAATTATTTAACTTTAGTATTTCTCAGTTTCCTAATTTATCAAATAGTATCTACTTAATAGGACAGTTTGGATAGTTACATGAACTTATACCTATAATAAGGTAAGGCAGTTCCTAACACATGGCAAACATCCAAAAGAAATGAATTATTTTTGCTATTTACTACTATTATTATTAATATTCCCTTGTAATGGAAAAAAGTTACCTCAATAAACTTCTTTCACTCTCCAAATGTGCCCCATTGACTATAATACTTATCATCTGAATTGATGTCTGAATTGATATTATTATAGACTGATCATCAATATAGGGTAACATTAACTAAAATTTGAGCAACATGTTTCTCAATATTTTTTGATATCCCTTGTATCTGGCGAATGTGCATGAGAAGAAGTCAAAGACGGGACAAGGACTGTACTAGAAAAAACAATGTGATGAGGTTCAAAGGTGAAGAGTTGGGAAATGTATGACAGGAGGGCAAAGAAACTCCTAAAGTCTCTATGACATTAAAAAAAAGAGAGAAAAACAAAGACATTTCAAAGAGTGGGGCTGTCAAAAGACTTCTAATAATGGATGATGGACCAGTTTTTTGGCTTGAGACTTTCTCCTTATCTTTGAACACTGGGTAAGGGTTGCCTGATTCATATGTCTCTTTCTTCTCTCACAACAGGAAAGAAAAAGATAGTATAAGGGCACTTGTCCAGTTAGGCTTAATTATAGAACCATTGTTGGTAGCAACTGTTAACTATCCTGAAAACTTGGAGTTGGCTTTAACAGTTGTTCTCTACCATCCTCAGGCTGAGGGGTCCAGAGACAGTCACAAGGACAGGGCTGGTTAGAAAGAGTTAGGTTCAGTCAATTTTCTTTGGGGCCCCTGAAGACCTTCTAGCCATAAAATTACCTGGATCTCATGCTTAAGGTGAATAGAAGGGAATGGTATTTTCTAGATTCAGTATACCCCCCAATTAAATAATTTTCTACTTAAAGCACCTATGAATCAAGAATACTTCATTCTATTTGCCCTACATGGATTATAAATGAAATAGAAATCAATAATTCTGGCTTTAGCCAGGACCATATATTTTTCATTTTTAACCACAAGATGTTAACCAGTAAGAAATTATTTAACTGTTCTTTGACCTCATCTGCTTCTTTTGTGGTTGTTGCTTCAAGTCAGCTGAGTTGTTTTGCTTCTCCCATCAAAGAGCAGATAAGAAATCTATGTACTATCAATTTAATTTAAATTTAGTTACATAATGAAATATTTTGACACAGATATTTCAGAATCTAAAAGAGGAAGATGTCTGTCTAACTGTTTGGAAATTTAATAGTAGATATGTTGCATTACTTACTTAGAGTGATTTTTAGCATTTGTATTTAGAAATCAATGATTGCTAGAATCAGAGAATACGTTTTAACCCACATATATTAATGGAGAAGGTTGTCCTTTTCTAAGTAACCAAAATGATTAGATTAGTTAGCGCAGATTAGATTTTGGTCTCCTTATATCTACCTAATGTTCAATGAACAAGAATACTTTTAGATATTTTGAAAAAGAAAGATAAAAAGTAAGGTTCTGAAACTTTTTTTTTTTATAAAAATAATTGAGCATTAAAATTCAAATACCATGTTGGTATAGAAGTAGTACAGCAAAAAATAATAATACAGACATTCAAGTAACAATAGGAGGTAGGTAAAAACTGATATGTATGCAAGGTACATGTACTGATATTTTTTTTCAAGAGCTTTAAAGTAGTCACTAGAATTTTCAATGCCCACTGATATTTTACTATTAAAAATTAAAAAAAATTAAAATTTGAAATCTGACTCCAAAGTTAGTGTCTGACTAACAGAATGCCACAGTTTTATTGCTTGTTTTGATAACATTCAAGTATAAATAATATTATGAAGAAATCTATTTTTGGTGCTCTATTGGTAATAAGCAAAAGAAAAAGCAAATCTATACCTTGCACAAAACACATTTTACATTTGTGTCTATTTTTTTTATATGTGTCGTATGACAGATCATAAATCAAAAGAATGATTGATTATTCTTTTCCTCGTCCAATGATAGGTGCCTTCACATTATCCCTGTTGGAAGATGTTTTTTACATGTTGCCAGATTGGGTGATAAGGAAGAGAAAATAAATATATGGGCCTTCTGTAGCTGTAGCCATTTTGAGGACTGCATTTATTGAAGTTGTAAGCTAAATCACAGGACACAACTTCTAGTAACAGAACTTCACATATAAAAAGATTTCTAAGAATAGATTTTCCCTAATATTAATTAACAAACACCTCAAAACTTTACACAATCATATGTTTGACTTGTAAGATTACCTAGGGGTTTAAACCATTCACTATATTGTCGTTAATGTGTAGGTGAAGCCAACAATTAAAAAAGTTGAAAGAATACACCAAAATGAGAACTAATAAATTGGATACCAGAATCATGTCATATCATGATATAATAGTCTTCTCTTTCTGAAGATAATAGTAATCATTATTTTTATTTGCATCTGAACACATAGACGTAAGATATATATATATCTGCATATAAAATGGCAAACTGATGAACCTATAAAAATGTAAATTACTAACCTGGTGTTACTACTACTCCATTTCCATTGACCACAGGCCTCTCTTCCTCTTCCTCCTCAGGAGGCTCTATACTTGCTTTCTCCATGTTGCTCACTGATTTATTCCTCTTCCGTTTTCCTTCAGCACTTGGAGTGGCTCCCGGAAGTATCTCGTCTGTTACATTTAATAATAATGGTGCTGGTTCTGCTGGAGGCTTCGGGGTACCGTAGTAATTGTCTGCAAATGATACCAAAACACTCTGGAGTTAAATATTTGTTTACTTTGTAAATCAGCAAAGAACAGAAATTACATTAACACATTTTTATCCTATTTTATACATAAATAGACACACACACAGGGTTTTATCTCATACACCTTTTTACTTGTTGCTTCCTTTGTATTGGGATTTAAAGCTTAAAGATATAGATTGATCTTCATTCTCATCTTTGTGCTAGACCAAAATAATGTCTTATGTGATATTCCAAATGGTATAGTTAATTACAAAATTATTAGTTTTTTTTGAACACAAGACTTGATTATAACCATTAAAATAATTTTGTTAAGAGTACAGATAATTTTTTTGTGGCAAATCTCACACTATTCTGGAAAGGCAAAGCACATTATGTTTTTCTCTGGCTTTCAAAGGGCTACAGCTGTTGTCCTTGATATACACAGCATCCTGCCTAGAGCTGTATCCCCATGCCAGTTCAGTGGTTCCCATGGCTGCTGACAGTGGGCCTGCTGCTCTAATCTTTCTTCAGATTACTACAGCTCTTTTTCTCACAGTTCCATTATCTGAGCTATGAAATCATTTGTTCCCCCCATCAGTCCGTGAGATTTCTTTAAAAAGAGGCTAATTCTTATTTATCTCTGTAATAAGAACCTAGCACATCATAAGCATAGAATAAATGCATACTAAGTGAATATCTTTATATGTTCAAGGCAAAGCACTTTACTTAAATTATTCTAAAGTTTTAATTGGTAAAGAACATCAGTGGTGTGTGTGTGTGTATGTGTGTGTGTGTGTGTGTGTGTGTGTGTGTATTTTAAATCAATCTTACATTTATACTACCAATTTCAAACCTATGTTGCTGTTTTCAGTTTATTGAGTAATTTATGCACTCATTTGCTCACTCATTCATTACATTACAATCTTTATTAGTATTGACTATGTACCCAAACACTCAAGTAAATGTTTGAGGAAAAAATGATGAATATAATATGGTCCTTGTTTTCTAAGCTGCACGCTGGTCCACTATAGGAGACCAAATTTGACATGAAAGAGATAAGCATAATAATAGGAGATAGGATTAAGCACTGTAATCAAGGGCCAAAGAGGAAGAAGGAAGCACATTTCACTATCTGCAGAGATCATTGAAGGCATCTGGGAAAACAGTGTACCATTAACCATGAAAACTATGTTATTTAGACTTGGCTTTTCTGTATACCACAATTCAAGCAAGTTACCTAATGTCAGTAAGGCTCAGTTTCTTCATCTATAAATATGAGTAGCAATAATTGCTATGATCACTTGTGTTCTGGGTTGCAAACAACCAAAACCAACTCTGCTTAAGTTAAACATAATAAAGATGTGCTAAAAGTATATGGGCTGGCTAGTCTGAAAAACCATGAGAAAAATGGGCAGACTGAAAAACCATGAGAAAAATGGGTAGAGACAGAGCAGTTCAGTCAGGATATCCATGTTGCCTTTGTTGGCCCCAGACTCTGGAAACATTAGCTGGTTCCACCACCAAGGTGCTTAGCCTAGGGTGCAGTCTGCCTTTGTTAGAACTATCCTCAGCTGCTCATTTCCAGGGAAATCAGCCAGGCAGTATCGTCTCATTGGCTGTGCCTCAGTCATGTGAGAGCACTTGAGCTGCCAAGGGAGCAGAAGAGAAGATGTCTACTCTCCTCTGATTTTGGGAGAGGGAGGTGGAACTCTACAGTTTGCCCATCTTATCTCAGGAATCTACCCAGGTAAAAAGGGCCTTGGGATACTGAAAGGTAGAAGAGTCAACTTCCACTCCATTTGCCCTCACTTTGTACTGCTGTGAAGATGAAGTAAGAATGTAACAAAAAGCACTTTATACATTGTAACAAGTACAGTGGCTTTAATAGCAATGTAAACTTCATGTTGCCATGAAATAAGCAAATATTCTGAAGGCTAGTCATGCCAATAATGCTGTTGCTCATTATCATAGTTATTCACACTTGTAAGAGAGTAATACAGGGAAAAAAAATTACATTGTGAAGTGCTTCTTATTCACATAGTACTTTTTTTTTCTTAAGAGAAGTCTGTAAAATGGATAATAGACACTTTGCTAAAAGTTACTTTCTAATTTGATTTAGAGCATTTCAAATGAATCAGACCTCCATAAAAACTAGCCAAATTCTGAGCAAACAATAGAGGAGTAGCTGCACCTTAGAAGTCAATGAACTATTATATTTCAGCATTCCTAAGGGCTAGTGCAGCCCTCAGTACACTGCTAATCTCAACGCATACATTTTATTTAATAAACGTTATGTAAAAGTAGTAAATAATCTCTGCATATCCCAATACATGATAAATGATTATAAGTGGTATTCTGAGATTTTTAATGTCTTTAATATGTGGTACTAAGAGACATGGATCAAACTTAAGTGTTTTTCCCCACCATTTGCCTTTTAAGTTTTAAATTTCCCTGAAGGAGTCTCCAGTCCTCACAGAGGTCAGTGTGCTCCTGTTTCATGGCCACAGGGCACAGCTGTGACCCTGACCAGCTGTCTGGAAACGTGGACAATCAATAACAAGGGCAACTGGCCTACAGTGTGGCTGAGTCTCTACAGAATATTTTCTGGAAGAAAAATTCCACTCAGGACATATTTTTCACTGTAAACACTATTAAAGAAGGTGGAAGGGAGTTCCAGTAAGATGGCGATGGCATAGGTGGATTTGTGAGATTCTCCAAATGTGAGTTCCCAAAAAGACTCTTACTTTTCTTCCCCCAACCCCCCACCCACTACCAGCCACACTGGTCCGAGGCCTGGGGACCTTCGGTCCCATGCAGGGCCGGATACTGCAGCCCCGGCTGCTGCTGCTCTAATATATGTGACTTATGCCACATGGGAGTCCCATGTCTTGGCTCCCTCCCTGGCTACATTGTCTCGCCCAGCACCCAGCACCAAGTTGCCAGTCACCCAGGGAGGCTCTGGGCACCCGCCCCTCAGAGATACTGGTTCCATTTCTAGTTGAAGTACCTTGTGAGGGACCCAGGGCCACTCTTACCACCCACCGTCTGCCCTTTGGAGCTTTGGAGCTCATGAGCTCTGGGCCTACCCTGACTGAGGCACTCAGTGCAGCGACCCCATGCTGGTGTAAGGGAACAGCCTATCTAAGGAGGTGCTGATCAGAGGCTCTCAGCTCCAGAGGAGGGAACTCCTGATTCCCTCCTTCACCCCAGTCTGCTGGTGGGACCCTGGATCCAGCACCCAGCTGTGCAGCTGATACCCGGTGCCTCCCACTCCAGCATAGTCCATCACAGTGGATCGCACAGGGACCCAGACAGGACCCTGATGAGCAGAGAAAAAAGATCTGTGAAAAGTGAAACTGCCACCTCAGCCATTCTCCAGGCAGAGATTTGCATTGCCCCACCCACCTATAAGCTGCCTCCACCTCGGTTCCTAAGGTAACATCACTAAAGAGGAGACAAAGCCCCTCCCCTGCTGAATCAGACAAAGGCAACATCGCAGACTTGCAAGCTGTGAGTAAATCTAGCTGCCTGCAAGGAAAACAAAGGGGAGAGACTGGTGATCAGATCTCCTATTTTGACTTTTGATTTTATCATTTTGATTGTTAGTTTTGCTCACTTTTGTTTGCTTCCTGATTTACACTATCTGTTTCATGATTTTATTGGTCTGTCTCTGCGTAGCTACCAGTACTCTTTAGGGAATTTTGCTCACATGTTTTTTTCACTTCACTCCGGCCTTGTGTCTCCTTTTCACCTGTTAGTTGGTATGTATGTCTGTTTTCCCTCTCACTCTCCTCTCTTTCTAACTTCCTATTGACCCCCCCTTCCTCCATTATTTTCCTCTTCTGTACCACCTTTTGCTCCAGGGACCAAACTTACATACCACTGCACAGACAGATTATAAGTCAGTGGGAAATAGGTTCCAGTGTGCTCATACACCTATTAGTGGATGCTGGAATCAGCATATAGATTCTGAATCACAGCTTCCCCCTCAATTAAACCTCAAAACTGCAAAAAGTACAGCCCACAGCCCACACTCCAACCTCAAAAGTGAACAAAGCCAGAGGACCCTCATAAGAAAGAACAGGAGACTGCACAAGTGAACAAAAGCAACCCTCCTTCCCTGAAAAACAGAATTAAAGAAGAGGAGGGAAAAGGGGAGAGAGAGAAAAATCTACATATGTAGAAAAACCAAAATAAGAATATGGATCCCTCCCAGACCCCTGGGAGGGCAGACACTGAGAAAACTGACTTCAGAATGCAAACAATGAAGAGCCCCCAGAATGACTGGTCCCAAACTACAAACCTAGATATCAAGACATTAATGGAGAGATTAAAAAGAATTGAGGAAACACAAGAAGAAATTAGGAAGGAGCTGATATCTCAGATAACAGTAATAAAGAATACTGTGAAGGAAACAAATAACAAACTGATAAGCATGGAAAGCAGAATTACCGAAGCAGAAGAATCTCACAGCTTGAGGACCAAAATATAAAACTAACCCAAACTCTTAAAAACACAGAAAACAAGCTCAAAAAGACAGAACAAAACCTTCAAGGATGAACAATTACTTCAAGAGACCAAACCTAAGAGTAATTGGCCTTCCTGAGGCAGAAAGAGAGACAGAGACCACACTGGAATAAACTTTCCATTAGATCATTCAAGAAAACTTCCCTTATCTAATCAGTGATGCAAAAATTCAAACACAAGAGATTCAGAGAACCCCTGCAAGACAACAAATGAGAAGACCAACTCCTACACACATAATAATTTGCCTAAACAAAGTAGGCATGAAAGAAAAATCCTAAAGGCAGCAAGAGAAAAGGCCAGATCACCTACCATGGAAGATCAATTAGAATAGCCGCAGATTTATCTACAGAAACCCTGCAGGGTAGGAGAGCTTGGAGCCCTATCTTCAAAGTCCTAAAAGATAAACACTTTCAACCAAAAATAACCTATCCAGTCAAGTTAAGCTTCATCAGTGAGGGACAATTAAAATCTTTCCCAGAT